GAGAACAAAGAAAGGAAAGCAAAAGAGAGAAGGGAGGAAAAACAGCCTGAAAAGAAGCTGAATACATGAAGCAGTTGAATGAGTATGTCTGAGGTATAAATGAGTGTTAACTAACTTACCTCATCAGATACTTTAAACCTTCTCAGCAACGCCACCACTTTCTGCTTGAAGTTTTGTTGCTGTAAGTCAAGAACACTTTTATATGAATACGGCAAGAGGGAATGCACAGGTGCACCACCACAGCTAAAAATGGATACACTGACTGCTCCTAGGTAGAAACATGTATGGGGCTGAGCCACAAACCAAGGAGCACTGCTGCCCTTTCTCCTACCTATATGCCATTCCCCAAGCAGAGCAGAATCCCCCAGGCTACATGCTATCCTATCCATGTTTATATCAACTCAGTTCCAGCCCTGACTGGTTTAGCCTTATTGCACCTCTGTGGGCTCCCAACATACATTAAACATTGCACTCAGCTAGCCATGTGTTTATGTATCTAGTGGAAAGACAACATTTTTTAGACTGCCAGTTAGTCACAAGCTGATGAATGCTTGTGTGAGTGCTTGAGGCTGTTTTTCTGCCTCCTTAATGCAGAAGTTCCACCTGCCTTCAGAGATACAACTAACCCTTTTCCACAAGGGAGCAGTGAGTTTTCACACAAACTCTTACAGTTGATGGGGGTGTCCCAGTCTCCCCCACGTGGGTGACTGGAAAGTAGATTCCATAGCAAGGATCTGCAGTTCATCTTGGCAAAGTATTTCACCCTAACAGTGGAGTTGTAACAACTTGGGCGGGTGGAGGGGTTTGGATGTTTGACAAGCCTTTTGGCTTGCCAGAGTCTGTACCTCCTGAGCTCTGAATGCAGAGCTTCACTCAAAACAATACAACCCAAAGCACTGGGTTTTGCCTAATTTCTACCAAAACCCATAAGCCCCTGGCCTGCAGCAGGATGAAACTAATCTTAACCTTTGCAGAGAGTTTAACAAACCTGGGATGTTTGGCTTTAGCAAACAAGTTTTGCAAAACTCTGCCCCATACATGTTTTCACTAGACCTCCTGAGAGAACTGGCATGGGTTAGCTGAACTATGTAAGAGTGGCAGCTATTCTGAATGGGGGAAAGCAATGTCAATGGGCCAAGCCTTAGTGAAGGCTAGTTCCTCATTTTGCTGGCTATTTCCCTCTCTGCAACTTCTACTGTCTGTGTTCATACACAGTCTAGCCGAGAGATTTTAATTCTATATTTAAGCACCTGCCCAATTCTCAGAAGTGCTGAGCACTCAGCAGCTCCTACTGACCTTCAGAAAAAAATTAGACATGCCTAAATATGACCTCAGGAGATTTTTAAAAAAAACCTTTGCCTATAAGTAGGGCCCTACCAAATTCACGGTCCATTTTGGTCAATGTCATGGTCATAGGATTTTAGAAATCGTGCATTTCATGATTTCAGCTATTTAAATCTGAAATTGCACAGTGTTGTAATTGTAGGGGTCCTGACCCAAAAAGGAGTTGTGGGAGGGTCACAAGGTTAGTGTGTGTGTGGGCCGAGGGGAGGGGGGGGAGAAAGTTGCAGTACTGCTACCCTTACTTCTGAGCTGCTGCTGGCAGCGGTGTTGCCTTCAGAGCTGGGGAGCAGTGGCCGCTGCCTCAGAGTCGAGCTCTGAAGGCAGAGCCGCCGCCAGAAGCAGCTCAGAAGTAAGGATGGCATGGTATGGTATTGCCACCCTTACTTCTGTGCTGCTGCCTGCAGAGCTGGGCCCTCAGTCAGCAGCCGCCACTCTCCAGCCGTCCAGCTCTGAAGGCAGCAGCACAAAAGTAAGGGCGGCATGGTATGGTATTGACCGGGCACTGCCTTCAGAGCTGGGCGCTCTCCGGCCGCCCAGTTCTGAAGGCAACGCAGAAGTAAGGGTGGCAATACCACACCGCACCCACAACTCCCTTTTGGGTCAGGACCCCCAATTTGAGAAACACTGGTCTCCGCCGTGAAATCTGTATAGTACAGGGTAAAAGCACACAAAAGACCAGATTTCATGGTCCGTGACGGGTTTTCCATGACTCTGAATTTTGTAGGGCCCTACCTTTAAGTTCTTGGCATTATCTAGAAACACCATGGTGTGGCTACTATTAGGTACAGTTTTTAGTTATGACTTTAGGATGACCATAACAAAGCCACTAGATACACAGTTCCCCTCAAACAAGTGAATTTATACCCTGGTTTGTGAAATGCAGGCTGCAACTGTTTTCATAAATATGCGCTGTGTGGGGTATAATGATAGAATGGCGCAAATTGTGGTATAAATTGTTCACTGACATAAGTTTGGGGATGGATAACCATCTTTGTCAAGGGGCTGTGTCATCTCGAGTTACGCAAGCCATCTCAAACTCAGCTTTCCGCGATGCGCCCCTCTCTCCCCTGCCCTATATTCTGCAAGCACCAAAGATTCTAAACTAATTCTATTTAGAAAGTTCTCTCATAAGTTTTTATTCTTTTTAAATATCGGTCAGTCTCTAAGGCCAGGCTGCCTTATTAGTTAACATACAAGCCTCTTCCCTTGTGGAAAAAAGTTAACAAATATTAGTTTAGAAAATGCAGCTTTTATGTCTTTTTATTCAGTTATGGGATTGCAGTTTTCAGATCCAATATCTGATTAAATGCCAGGACTAGAAACAAATTATTTATATCATAAGAAAGCTGCATTACTTATTGGTCAAGATGCATAACTCTGTCACAAGATAGTTAAAAAGATCCTAAAACTGTCACTGATCCAAGCCTGAACAGCTAGTAAACCAGCATCTGATGATTTTTCATGATCCTCATTTAGGGGAAGAAGAAACTTCTTTTGGTGGCAGATTTCGTTTATTTGAAAAAAATGTGGCCTATTCAGAACTCTCTCAGATGTTTGATGTCAGAAATAGTGCTAGTGGAGGTAGATAAGTGTGTAGACTGCGCTTCAGACCTACTCTAAGGTCCAAAATAAATCCTGCTTATTCCATGGTTGCTGCAATAACTCAGTGGCTAGAGTTACTGTAATCTCATATGTGACACAAATACTGTATACAAAAAAACTAAACCATCAAGGTTGCAGCACTCAAAGGAAAGTTAAGGTTTTATGCTAAAATTTAACTCTGTCCCCTTGTGTGCATATATTATGACACAGTATGTAACTGCATATCATTTACCAGACAATAGTATCTGACGAGTCCTACAGCCTGAACTACACACATGCCATCTTGCATTAACCCACTTGATTATTTCGTACCTAATCTCCATTATTTCACTTTGAAATGCTCATCTGGGCTGAATTCACCCTCATGCAGAGGGCCAGCAAAAGGCCTATGCCCCACTTCAAGCCTGCTCAAAGGCTTACAAATGCATGGATCTTGTGTTAGCCTCTGCACAAGGTCAATTTCACCCTTAAATGATTTTCATGGGGGTCCTCTCACTTTACAGGCAACACAAGTGATACAAGATGGTACACTCAGATAAGGCTGTCAGTATCTGCTGTGGTTTGATCGGTACTTTGATCACTTTGCTAGATTTTAGTTCTGGACTTTCCCACCTCCTGTGATTATCTCTGATTTCGCCATTGGGACCATTGTGTAAATAGCTCTGTAAATCTCTTGAGCTGCATGCAAATCCTGGCCAAACCCCTTCAGTGTTAGTAAAACTAATTTCCACCGACCCTGGTTATGGACGTCGTTCTTACTATCGATCTCCGTTGTTTCTTTGGCTTGCCCAGCTCATATTCATCATCGTCCAAATCCTGCACAGAAAGAGGAGTCGGATTTTACACTTGCCTCAAGAACAAACAAGGGCTGTTTTTTTATTATTATTATGCAAAATGTTTCATTTCTGCAACAAAACATGTGCCAGGGACTGATTAGTATCATACGAGTGCACAGGAGAGACTGGCTAAAGCCTGGTCTACACTACAGAGTTAGGTCGACCTAATTATGTCAGTGTCTACACTACAGCCGTGCTCCCGCTAATGTTAGGCCTGGTCTACACTACGAGGTTAGGTCAAATTTAGCCGTGTTAGGTCGATTTTATAAGGAATGCATCTACACAACCAACCCCGTTCTGTCGACCTAAAGGGCTCTTAAAATTGACTGCTGTACTCCTCCACGACGAGGGCAGTAGCGCTAAAAATCGACCTTCCTGGGTCGAATTTGGGGTACTGTAGACGCAGCACTGTGAAATCTGATGGTATTGGCCTCCGGGAGCTACCCCAGAGTGCTCCAATGTGACCGCTCTGGACAGCACTTTCAACTCCGATACACTAGCCAGGTACACAGGAAAAGCACCGGGAACTTTTGAATTTCATTTCCTGTTTGGTCAGCGTGGTGAGCTCAGCAGAAGAGGTGACCATGCAGTCCCAGAATCACAAACGAGCTCCAGCATGGAGCGAACGGGAGACATTGGATCTGATTGCTGTATGGGGAGAAGAATCTGTGCAGGCAGAACTCCAATCCAGCAGAAGAAATGCTGATATATATGCCAAAATCGCACAGGGCATGGTGGACAGAGGCTACACCAGGGACACACAGCAGTGCCGCATGAAAATTAAGGAGCTCAGGCAACCCTACCAAAAGACAAAGGAGGCAAACGGTTGCTCCGGGTCAGAGCCCCATACATGCCACTTCTATGATCAGCTGCATGCCATTCTAGGGGGGGACCCTACCACTACCCCACCACTCTCCGTGGACACCTGCAAGGTGGCAGCCTCACGCAACATGGAGGAGGATTTTGTGGATGAGGAAGAGGACGAGGAGGAGAACGCACAGCAGGCAAGCGGAGAATCCGTTCTCCCCGGCAGCCAGGATCTTTACCTCACCCTGATGCCAAGACCCTCCCAGGGCAAATTGTTCCCAGACCCTGAAGGCAGAGAAGGCACCTCTGGTGAGTGCATATTTGTAATTACACTACAGGGGTTAAAAGCAATTGTGTTTAATATTTGATTTGCCCTGAACAACTGGGATGCATTCGTGGCCAGTACAGCTACTGGAAAAGTCTGTTAACATGTCTGGGGATGGAGCGGGAATCCTCCAGGGACATCTCCATGAAGCTCTCCTGGAGGTACTCTGAAAGCCTTTGCAGAAGGATTCTGGGGAGGGCTGCCTTATTTCATCCTCCACGGTAGGACACTTTACCACGCCAAGCCAGTAGCAAGTGGTCTGGAATCATTGCAGCACAAAGCATGGCAGCAAATGGTCCTGGGTTTTGGTCACATTCATGCAACATTCTGTCTTTATCTTTCTGTGTCAGCCTCAGGAGAGCAATATCATTCATGATCACCTGGTTAAAATAGAGGAATTTTTGTAAGGGAACAGTAATCCCCTGTTTGGTGATCCCCGGCACATTAGACCCCGGTCATGCTGGGCTGTTTGCGCTTGACTAAAAGAGATCATCCCGGAGAACAGCCACATGGAGGGGAGGGATGTGCTGCACATCCACCCCAAAAACACAGCCCCTCCTTTCAAACGGCAACCATAGCCCCTCCTTTTAAACGGCTAACCCAACTGGCATTGGTTGCTATGGGAAAGGAGGGTGCTGCAGTTTGAAACCATTCCCACATGTTATGAATGTGGAAGAAGCCAACCTAGCATACCCTTTGGCTTACCTCGTCTGCCTGGAAACCGAATTCAGTTGTCCAGCCGTGTGTGATGTGTCACCATACCGGCAGGCGCTCAATATAAAAGGCAAAATACGACCTTGTACCTAAAACACATGTGCTGTCTTCTGCGAATTGCTTGATTCACTGTGAAAGAGTCACCCTTTTGTTCTCAGAAATGTATCTTCTTAATTTCTACTCTCCCTTTTCCTCCCCCCCGCAGCTGCAAATGTTTCTATGCTCCCCGTATCAACTCCGTCCCTGAGGTTATCGCAGATTAGAAGGTGAAAAAAACACACTTGCGCTGACATGTTTTCAGAGCTCACGCAGTCCTCCCACACTGATAGGGCACAGCTGAATGCATGGAGGCATTCGGTGGCAGAGGCCAGGAAAGCATACAGTGAGCATGATCGGAACATGCAGGAGGAGATAGATGCTGAGGCTAAAGGGGGAGCAAACGGACATGATGAAGCATCTGCTAGAGCTGCAGGAAAGGCAACTAATGTTCAGAACCCCGCTGCATCCATTGTGTAACCGCCTGCCCTTCTCGCCAAGTTCCATATCCTCCTCACCCAGATGCCCAAGAACGCGTGGGGTGGGGGGGGGAAGCTCCGGGCACCCAGCCACTCAATTCCAGGGAAGCAACAGAAGGCTGTCATTCAAACAGCTTTGATTTGTAGTGTGGCTACAATAAGCTATGTGGCCTTGTCCTTCCCTCCTCCCCCAACCCACCTGGGCTACTTTTACTAGTCAGCGTTGTCAGTGATCTCAAGGTTTTTTAATGAATAAAGAATGAATGGATTCAGAACAATAGTGACTATTTCCTGTGTCAGCTGTGGTCGAAGGAGGGGAGGGGGGGATTGGCTTACAGCGAAGTACATTCACCAAAGGGGGCTACTTTGCATCAAGGACAAACACACACACACACACACACACCATAGCCTGGTCAGTCATGAAACTATTTTTCAAAGCCTCTCTGATGCGCAGTGCACCTGCCTGTGCTCTTCTAATTGCTCTGGTGTCTGGCTGTTCAAAATTGACCGCCAGGCGATTTGCCTCAACCTCGCACCCCGCCATAAATGTCTCCCCCTTACTCTCACAGATATTACGGAGCACACACAAGCAGCAATAACAATGGGAATATTGCCTTTGCTGAGGTCTGATCTATTCAGCAAACAGCGCCAGCGCCCTTTTAAACGTCCAAAGGCACATTCTACCACCATTCTGCACTTGCTCAGCCTATAGTTGAACTGCTCCTTACTGCTGTCCAGCCTGCCTGTGTACGGCTTCATGAGCCATGGGAGCAAGGGCTAGGCTGGGTCCCCAAGGATAACTATTGGCATTATTGGCAGCTATTAGCTTATGTCCAAATAAATCTGTTAGTCTTTAAGGTGCCACCAGACTCCTTGTTGTTTTTGTAGATACAGACTAACACGGCTAACCCCCTGATATTGGCATTTCAACATCCCCAACAGTAATTTTCTGGTCTGGGAAGAAAGCCCCTTCTTGCAGCTTTCCGAACAGCCTGGAGTTCTGAAAGATGCGAGCTTCATGCACCTTTCCCGACCATCTCACGTTGATGTCGGTGAAACGGCCCTTGTGATCCACCAGTGCTTGCAACACCATTGAGAAGTATCCCTTGCGGTTTATGTACTGTTTGGCAAGGTGGTCCGGTGACAAGATAGGGATACGCATTCCATCTATTGCCCCACCACAATTAGGGAACCCCATTGCAGCAAAGCCATCCACTATGACCTGCACATTTCCAAGAGTCACTACCCTTGTTAGCAGAAGATTATTGATTGCCTTGGCTACTTGGATCACAGCAGCCCCCATGGTAGATTTGCCCACTCCAAATTGATTCCCGACTGACCAATAGCAGTCGGGCGTTGCAAGCTTCCACAGGGCTATCACCACTCGCTTCTCAACTGTCAGGGCAGCTCTCATCTTGGTATTCCTGCACTTCAGGGCGGGGGAAAGCAACTCACAAAGTTCCATGAAAGTGGCCTTACACATGCGAAAGTTTCACAGCCACTTGGAATTTTCCCATACCTGCAACACTATGCGGTCCCACCAGTCTGTGCTTGTTTGCTGGGCCCAGAATCAGCGTTCCACTGTATCAACATGCCCCAATGATGTCCCAATTGCCACATCCTGTGCTTTCAGGAACGTCTATGTCCATGTTCTCCTCACAATCTTCCTTTTGCTGGGGGCTCCTAGCTAGGCTCTGCACATATTGCAGGATAACGCGCGAGGTATTTACAATGCTCACAAAAGCAGTGTGCAGCTGAGCGGGCTCCATACTTGCCGTTCTATGGCTTCTGCACGGGTAACCCAGGAAAAAAGGCGTGAAACAATTGTTTGCTGTTGCTTTCAGGGAGGGAAGAAGGGAGGGATGGAAGACTGACGACATGTGCCCAAAACCACCTGCGACAATGTTTTTGCCCCATCAAGCATTGGGAGCTTAACCCAGAATTCCAGTGGGCAGCGGGGACTGTGGGATAGCTACCCACAGTGCACCACTCCATGAGTCAATGCTAGCCACGGTAGTGAGGACACACTCCACTGACATAATGCGCATATTGGCAGGGCCGGCTCCAGCGTTTTCGCCGCCCCAAGTGGCAAAAAAAACCAACCCAAAACAAAACAAAAAACAAAACAAAAAAAAGCCGCAATCGGCGGCACTTCGGTGGCAGCTCTACTGCCGCCACCTCATTCTTCGGCAGCGGGTTCCTTGGTCCCACTTGGAGGGAAGGACCTGCCCCGAAGAGCCGGACGTGCCACCCCTTTCCGTTGGCCGCTCCAAGCACCTGCTTGCTGCGCTGGTGCCTGATGCCGGCCCTGCTTATTGGGGACACGCACAATCGACTGCATAAAATCGGTTGCTAAAGATAGACTTCTATAAAATCAAACTCATTTCGTAGTGTAGACATGCCCTAAGTGCCCTAATACACTGACATAACTCAACCTACATGAGAGGTGTAGGGCTTATGTCAGTGTAGTTAGGGTGATGCAGTTTCTGTGTAGACATTGCTTAACTTACATGAGCTGTTGGTTGTCATTCTTGTCAATTTTACAGCTCTGCGCTGGAGCCATGAAATTGACAAAGGCTGGAAGGCTCCATGCTGTGAACCCCGTGCCTGGCTGTCATCCCAGGGCATGTGGGGTGTGTGATGTTGCACTCTATACGATTTTATGAAAATATGCTAATATAACTGGAATATGCTTCATGCAAAAGGTCTCTTGTAAGGTATTATCACAAAGCTTATAATCTGAGTATGATCATCCTATTTGTATAAATGTACCACTCTTGTATCTGAAACTAGAAATATGAAATATAACTCTGAGGGCCTATTGTAATTATGCAAAGTGTGGGCCATTAATAGCGGTTTGGAATCTTGACTCCCATTAACCAGGACAAATGACTGCAGATGGCTGTAAGTCTTCCTGTATACGTGTGTGCTGGCAAGTGGGTAACGAAGTCTTACGGTGACATGTGATCATGTCACCTGAACTGGAATCCATCTTTAACCTGGTACTTTTCCATTGAGGAGGAGGGTGGGGAGGGTGGGAACCCAGAGGGACAAAGGATTCCCGCCTTATGCAAAAGATATATAAATGGGTGGAACAGAACAAAGGGAGAGCCATCATGAGGAATCCCCTAGCTACCACCTAAGCTGAAACAAGGGCTGTACCGGGGAAAGGACTGTGCCCAGACTAGGAAGGCGTCCAGTCTGTGAAAGAGACTTATTGAAATATCTCTCAGGGTGAGATTTTTACCTGTACTCAGTTGTATTACTGTATTAGGCTTAGATTTGCGTGTTTTATTTTATTTCACTTGGTAATTCACTTTGTTCTGTCTGTTACTACTTGGAACCACTTAAATCCTACTTTCTGTATTTAATAAAATCACTTTTTACTTTTAATTAACTCAGAGTATGTATTAATACCTGGGGGGGGGAGGGCAAACAGCTGTGCATCTCTCTCTATCAGTGTTATAGAGGGTGAACAATTTATGAGTTTACCCTGCATTAGCTTTATACAGGGTAAAACTGATTTATTTGGGGTTTGGACCCCATTGGGAGTTGGACATCTGAGTGTTAAAGACAAGAACACTTCTGTAAGCTGCTTTCAGTTAAGTCTGCAGCTTTGGGGCAAGTAATTCAGACCCTGGGTCTGTGTCGGAGCAGACGGGCATGTCTGACTCAGCAAGACAGGGTGCTGGGGTCCCGAGATGGCAGGGAAAGCAGGGGCAGAAGTAGTCTTGGCACATCAGGTGGCAGCTCCCAAGGGGGGTTCTGTGATCTAACCCGTCACAGAGGCACCAGTTAGAGCCCAGCTGCTGCCCAGGCTCCCCACTCTGAACCGAGCTCTGGGCTCCTGGCCCCCTGCTGGGAGCCTGGGAGAAGAGGGGGGCGGCCAGCCACCCCCCACTACCCCCTTAAGTCAGTGGAAGCACTCCTGATGAGAATGCACACCACCAACAGAAGAAGGGCAGCGGGGACATGAAAAAGCGCAGTAATTTCTGAGGGGGCTGTAAGTGGATCTAACATAGGTCGAGTTAAGCTTGTAGTGTAGACGTGCCCTCAGTCTTCACCTGCAGGGTTTTAAGTACTGGGGAGGCAGAGACTTAGCCCTGAGTAAAGACAAGCAAAGGATTGTACTGATCCTGCATAGAGAAAGGCAGAGAGAACTAAACTGTAGGAGTACAGCATGTTGCTGAGCAACCAGGGCTCAGACACGTCAACACAAATACCAGCACCTCTCTGAAGCCACTATCCTTTTCTCTGGAATCTCAGCTTTCCCTTACATCAGTCTCTATCTGCAATGGTGCAAAGCCCCAAAAACATGAGCGGAATACCCTGTGCTAAGAGGAGTCAGCAGACAGCCCAGAATACCCTGAAGAGGTGTCAAGTGCCTCATTGTGCCAGCAAGACAATAACTCAGAGGCCTATTGGTAATTCATCATTTAAAAAAGTCAACACAATGATTTCGGCCCTCATGTAAGGAAAGAAGAGGGAAGGTCACAGACTGGACCATTTACAGAGAGTGATCCCTCATTTTGGTGACACAAATGGATGGCATTTGGGAGACACTGTCACTCCACTTTCCACACACTGAAGATGCAGAGCCAAGGTTGGAGCCAGAGCCATTTTGAACATCTGCACGACCTATCATGAGCAGTGTCTCATTCCAGCGATTCACATGGGTTGAGTGTGGCAGAGTTCCACCATCTTTCTTGCCCCAATTGGACCCATCAGAGGCTGAGGCTGCTTAAGAAGCAGCCCGGAGAGATCTCTGTTGTGACTGTCTTTCTAGCCATGGATGTCCAAATTGCACAGAGTTCAAAGGAAGGGGAAAACACTGGGGAGAAAAATAATCTATGCACCACATACAACTACCCACTGCAGTACAGATTTAAAAGTTATAGACCACGTGCAAGTTTAATTCTAGGCTGTAGGGCCCTGTGACATGGTGTACAGGTTCTCTGAGGCCCCCTGCTGGAGGCCTTGCGATTCTACCACACCCCACCCCAGAAAAGGAACAGCAAAGGTGGGTCCCCCAGGCTTGCCTAGAAAGGCTGCAGAGAGGGAGCCAATCAGAGCACCGCAGGCTCAGTTAAAAGGAGCTGCAAGAGCTGAGCGACTAATATCAGTTTACACCCTTCTGGGGAAGAAATCCTTTGTAGAGCATTGAACAGCAGCTTCTCATACAATACCTGTCCATGGACAGCATCATCACTGGCTTCCTGCTCAGAAGAGAAGCTCTCATACTCTTCTTCAGAATAGTTATCTGTAATGTAAGGAAAGGGCACAAAGTCTTAGAAGACTCCCTTTGGAAAGAAGGGGAAGCCTTGTTGCTCAGGAGAGCAAACTTCAAAAAATTCACACTGGCTAACATTCCTAGAATCAAGGAATATGAACATTTGGGGAGAAGACTAAGGGCGTATCTTTTAGCTGCACTAGAAAGGTAGGATGAGAACTTCCCACAGAGAGAGCGAGTATGATAAATACTCAGCTAGCAGACAGGAAATTCACCCACAAAGTAGAGAAGATTGGCATGCAGGTGAGCCCTTCCCCTGGAGGGAGCTAGTCTGCAATGCCCACCCCAATAGGAAATAAGCAGGGACCGCTGCCATATAGTCCAAGATGGAGTGGGCATCACTCCGCCTCTACCCATGGGGCAACTCAAGCTACACACTTCTCCAGATTTGTTCCCCTAACCAGGCACAGCTGGTATGCAGGACCAAATATGGTGAGGGGAAAAAAAGATCCTGTTCCTTACTGAAATGATACACCAAGTAAATTGTCTCACTCTATTCTGGACTCCAACTAGGCATCTGTGTGGTGCATGCCCATGTATCTTGCAATATGGACTTCCTATCTGAAATCAGAATTAAGCCATCACTTTAAAAAAAAAAAGAAAAAAAAAAGCGCCCATGAACTTACTCTCCAGAAGTGTGCAAGATTTAGTCACGTGAGGTAAACCAGAGTAACAAGGGAGTCTAGCCTCCAGAGATCATGCAGTAGAAGCTATCTATGGAAGCACTTCTCATCTTGTTTTTTGTAACAGCCAGTTGATACAGTAGTCACCAATCAAAAACAGGACAAGGAGATAAACATTTATATCTAACTTACTAATGGAATTTTCAATGCACACTGCCCCATACTACCCAAGTGTCTTAACAGCAAAGCAACAGTTCAAAATATCACCAGCTCCAAACAGGTCTCTACTTCCTTGGAGTGTCCTTCAGCTCTCAAGTGTCCTTGAAAATGTCCTCTCTTTCCCCCGAGTCAGTGAGGAGTCAGTTTGTGGTCTATTGATGCATACAAATACTATTTCATTTAACTTTTGGTGTTGTGCTTCCCATTTGTACTTTGGTTCGCCCCTGCAGAGAGTTTCTCTAGATTTTTATGTTACAGTATTTGGTATAACAAGTGTATGGTGAATGTGCCAAGTGCTCATGACAACTTTTGTTCCAAACAGTGACGTTAAGCGAGACCAAACTGGAACCAATCTATATTCTGTTTAGATGTTGTAGTGAGCTTTTAGTTTAATGCCGAGAGTGTGCAGAAATGGAACCTTGGAAAACCAACTGCAAAATGGGGTTCCTATGGCTCCCTAATGATGGTGCTTGTGTATGATGCAACAGAGAAGGGAATTGAACAACATGGGCCCGAATTCTGTTGCTCCTTACATACATCGCGAAAACCTCTTTCATATTACTGTAGAGTTATAGCACTGGTAAGAACTGGTACTGATTTGTCTTAGAAATTAACTCCATTTGCCTGCGATTCTACCACTAAACACTAGCCTTCAGAGTGCAGGATTGTATACCATTAGCTACAAACCCTCCCCCGCATCCCTCAGTCCATTCCCAAATGTCAAATAATTACATGCTATTGCCATGGTGTCACTGGGGGCTGCTGCTGAACCCCCATCTCCAAACATGCGCTGCCATACCCAGTGTCAGCTGAGGTTTATTCTTTTATAACAAAGGTTAAACAGAAGGCAGCCTTAAGTCAATACCTGGCCCCCAGGCTTCAGGGCCACTCCCCCCAGGGGTCTCTGACACTCCAGCTCCTGGCAGCTTCCTTGCCTTGTCCAGGTCTGCTTCCCTCTCTTCCTGGAACCCCTGGCCCCCTTGCTCCAGAGACCCACCACAGGAGTTGGCTCCACTCCAGTGTGACCTCTACTGACCACGGCTCAGCCTGTCTTGGTCCTTCCTCCCCAGCTGCCTACCAGCAGCCCTTTATAGGCCCTGGTGTAGCCCAGCCCCCATTAATTAGCTGGATGAGGCTCACCTGCTCCAGCCTAGGGAAGCTGGGCTCAATCATTCTGCAGAGACCAGCTACCATGTGACACATGGTAAAGAGGTAAGGAAATCTGAACTAGTGCCAGATGAGAATTTATCAAGAACCAATGGAGCACAGGATCTCAGAAGCCATGGGGTTTGTCTACATGGTGATTATCCACTGTAGCTATTCCAGGCTAGCGTCCCACATAGACACACACATTCTTTACTGAGAGTGCCTTTTTGTGGTTTAGCTTGATCTTCAGTAGACAAGCCCTACGTCAGAGAGGGGGGAGGGATAGCTCAGTGGTTTGAGCATTGGCCTGCTAAACCCAGGGTTGTGAGTTCAATCCTTGAGGGGGCCACTTAGGGATCTGGAGCAAAATCAGTACTTGGTCCTGCTAGTGAAGGCAGGGGGCTGGACTTGATGACCTTTCAAGATGCCTTCCAGTTCTAGGAGATGGGATATCTCCATTAATTTACAATTTATTTTTTTTATTTACAATTTAGAGGATTTGACTTCACAGAGAATATGGAAGAGGAGGAGAACAAAGCTGATTTCCATGGTTATTTGCAGTGCTCTGTTTTGGTTCCTCTTCACCCCTCACAACCTGCTGGGTCAGGAATTTCCTAGACCACACTGTAGTTTTTAAAAAAAAATATTTAGTTCTTCTCTTTCCAAGCCCTGCCCTCCTTGAAGCCATTTGGTTATCACTAAAATGCAGAAAGTGGCACATTGTTATTTGTGCTGTTTGAAGGCCCCCTGCAGGACCAGGGCCCCACTGGGACAGGCACTTTACAAACGTAAGGCAGTCCATGCCTTACGTGTTTTTTTGTTTGTTTTTTGAAAGAACATGCCATCTGAAGAGACCAAGAGGAGGAAGGGGGAAGGGGATTTGACATGATGGGGAAGGGAGCAAGATGGTGGCATAGACAAGGCCAGCTTTAGACTTTTTCTGTTTTATTTATATCACAAAAATGTAAGTTGAAGCAGTTTCCAACCAAATGGGCTTTCAGGGAAAAGGAACGGATTGTCGGGGGAAGAGACGGGAGAGGAAATAGACGGGCTTAAGTTCAATAGAGGGCATATTTTTACCTGTGGACTTGATCTTCTGGCTAGGCTGCATGGTGCTGTCTTCATGGTCTATTGGCTGACTAGACAGTGAGAAGATCCAGATCTCTGCTACTTTGGCCGTGGTTTCCTTGATGTTACTGAAAAGGCTCAGAACCTGGCCTCCTTCAGTCGGGTGCTGCATCACCTGGGATTGGGGAAGTAACAGTCTTGTATTTAAATATTGTGGGCCTGATTCCCATCCACTAACATTGGAAGAGTTATTTAAGGAGTTAGTCTGGGTATGCAAGAAGGCTCAAATGCCTGGGTCTAGAACAGGGGCGGGCAAACTTTTTGGCCTGAGGGCCGCATCGGGTTTTGGAAATTGTATGGTGGGCTGGCCCCCGCAACCTATCCGCCCCCCCCCCTCCCGCTTCTCACCCCCGACGGCCCCCCAGGACCCCTGCCCCATCCAATCCCCCCCTGCTCCCTGTCCCCTGACCGCCCCCAGAACCCCCGCCCCATCAACCCCCGTATCCTTCCTGACTGCTCCCCCGAACCTCTGCCCCATCCAACCACCCCTTTTCCGTCCCGACTGCCCCCGGAACCCCTGCCCCTGACTGCTCCCCGCCGCCCCATCCACCCCCTCCTTCCTGACTGCCCCCCCGACCCCTGCCCCCATTCAACCCCCCTGTTCCTGCCCTCTGACCACCCTGACCCCTATCCATACCCCCACCCCCTGCCCACCACCCCGAACTCCCCTGCCCTCTATCCCCTGCCCCCCCGCCCCTTTACCGCGCTGCCTGGAGCATCGGTGACTGGTGGCGCTACAGCCACGCACCGCGCAGCACAGAGCACCGGGTCAGGCTGGGCTCTATAGCGGCGCTGCCCCAGGAGCTTGCAGCCCCGCTGCCCAGAGCATTGCACCGGTGGCGGGGCAAGCTGAGGCTGCGGGGGAGGGGAAACAGCAGGGGAGGGTCTGGGGGCTAGCCTCCCGAGCTAGGAGCTCAGGGGCTGGGCAGGAGGGTCCCGCGGGCCAGATATGGCCCACGGGCCGTATTTTGCTCACCTCTGTTCTAGAAGAACAACCAGCTATAGACACTATTTAATGCTATTTCAGAATTTACTTGGCTATCAACTCAAGGAAGTGGCAGGGACAGAAGATTTCAGTTTGACATGTGATCAGATCATACTGAAGCATGTTATTGGATTACCCTCGTTATTATTCTGTTAGCTTGCCTGGGTACTAATTTTAGTGATCATTAAGTTATCCAACTCGTGAATTCCCAAACAAAAACCCTCCAAATCTACTTTAAAGCCAGCTGAAGAAACCATCCGCAATGACGTTTCCCTGGACAAGCACATTAGGTGCTTTATAGAACAAACTGAAAAAAGCAAGTCCCTGTCCCAAACAGCTGACAACCTAGATGTGACAATGAGAACTGGTCAAAGCATAGGCAAAGGGACATCTTTGTGGCTCTATAAAAAATGGAATTTGCTTCTTAATTCTTTGCCACCTTCAACGTGATGATGATCACACCTTCCTCCTATAGATTCTCTTCTAGGCTTCCAAGACTGTCCCTCTTGTGCTCTTCCCACCCATGCAAATGCCCTTTCAATAGCACCTCCCCTCCTGGTCTTTATCAGTGTTCCTCAGGACTCTATATCTGGCCCCCTCCTATTCTCGACCTTCCCCCCGGGTGACCTCATCCACTCAAGGATTCAACTGGCCACCTTTATGCTGGTGATTCACCAGTCTACCCCTCCTACCCTTAACCTATCTGTTCAGTTTTGCATCTGATATCAGCAGGGAGAAGAAGAAAAACTCTTGTAAGAATTAAGAAACTAAAAATTCCAGGAAGTACTATTTATAGGGTGCTTTATCAGAAACTGGATGTTTTTTAAGTTTGGAATTTTTTTGAAATTCACTGCTGACAATCTCTTCTATGTTCAAACACATTGCAAATACTTCACAGATATTTAGCATTTTCATATCCTCTGCTGTCAGAAATGACAGAACAGTAAGAAAAAGTATTATATTTCAACAGTGAATGCTTAACATTTTAAAGAGATTTGCTTGTGAGCTTACTTGAGTGCTGCTCATATTTTTTAGTTTAATTTCCAATTAGTAACAATGAACCAAACATGATACAAGACAAACAAACAAACAAAAAGGCCAAAAATTAGAATTTAACCGAAACTCAAATGCAGTAGTGAAAACGTATTTCGATTTAAAAGCACAATTCACACAAAATAAATCTGTAGATAAATCAATCAATTATCTAATATCACAAGAACCTAGCATGATTGCAGTGTTAAACCATTTCATTTAGCAATAAATTCTCCACTGATGGAACTAAATTTATGGAATGAAATTTTCTGGAAGATTTCTATGCTAAGTGTAGTATGGCAGGTTTCTGCTACACAATGCTTCTAACACTATATTTTTAATATTTACAAGTACACAGCTGCGTAGATTAGGGAATAAAAAAATTAGAGTGGAGCTAACTGAAGTTCAGTGGATACCATAAGCATCTCCTGCAACTACTGATTCAAAGTTGAAAGTCAGCTTGCTTTGGTCATCTGCTTTCCATGAATATTCAAGCAATCAAGTTGTATTAACAAGAATGACCATGAAAAGTAAGCTTCAAGATTTCAATGCCTGAAAATGGTGGAAATTATACAATCATGGTGAACTATCATCACGCACATGCAGAAAGGGACAGAATTAAGATTGCATAGGCTACTTTGATTTCAGCATTTCCTAACTTTGAAATGCTGGACTTTGCAACCTTAATGTATTTGGATGGAGTAAGATAAAATGTGTTATTTATGTTCAAGAATTCAAGAAACAGACAGATGTTAGCTCAACTGAATTAAATTTACTGCATCTTTGGTTGACTGTTCTTGTGCATTATTTTTTCAGAATATTTATTAGAAGTGCTTAAACTCTCATGCCAAAGTGTGTTTTAAAAACAGGGGGAACGATAGCATATTTGGGCAAAGTACTTGGAACTGAGCCCGAACCTTAAAAATGCTAAGAGAAATAAGCCAGCCCTTGCTTCTCCTGCTTATATTTTATAGAAAATACACAGCATTTATTACTTTATATTATTTCCATTAACACTCTTGCCCTATAAACCTTGGTACACTTGAAAAGTGAGACACATATGAAAGCCATCTAGGTACTTTTTTCAGAAAAGAATGGTAGCCTTGGATTTAAACTGAGGATAAGGGCATATGCTGACTCCATCCGAACGCTTTGAGTTGTGCTGATGAACATCTACCTCGGCCATGTTGATGGAGCCCACTGCTAAAGTCTTGTAGCCCAGAATCGTTCGGTTTTTGTATCGCTTCCTCCTTTGCAGCATGATCTGAAGCTTGTTGCCTTCTCTTTTCAAGAAGTGAGGATACTGAAGTTAGAATACAATTTGAAAAAATGTTACACTTCTTGTCACTAGCTCCCAGCTACCCCATTTACAGCTGACACACACTTGTGCTTGTTAAGGTTAAATACCTTGCCCAGTCCCAGTGCTTTTAAAGATATTTACAGTTCACCTAATCTTTTGTTCTAGGAGTAGCAGCAGCAGCTGACAACTCTGCACTGGTTCCAAGGAAGACCAAGCTTTAGGTACTTCTGACTGAAAACTCTCGGCTAGTTTTTTACAGCCAAACATTCTCTTTTCACCACTCTGTTCATTCTGCCCTCACAACACTGAAGAATGCAAAATAATTACTCAGCTTACAAAAACAGCTCTGCAGAAGTGCTTTCAATGGGTCTCTAACAGAACATGAGCTTGTTTGGGTGGCTGGTAAGGGAAATCTGTTTGTGTAAACCTCAATTGACCTATGTACATTATCCAGGAAAGGAACTGGCCCAGCCAATCACAGCACAGGGAGGCCTGATCCTCAACTGTACGTTTATTTCTCATGTAAGCAACTTCCTGAATGGCTGGCGTTTTATGTGCACAATGTCCTCATGGTTATTTCTCAGTAGACAAACTGAATCCCTGCATGCTGTCTTGCTGACAGCTATTTGCAAGAGTGCAGAGATCTGTGTAACCACTAGGGCTGTTGATTATTCACAGTTAACTCACACGATTAACTCAAAAAGATTAATCACAGTTTCAGTTGCACTGTTGAATAGAATACCAATTAAAATGTATTAAGTATTTTGGGATTTTTTCTACATTTTCAAATATATTGATTTTAATTACAACACAGAATACAAAGAGTACACTGCTCACTTTATATTTTTATTACAAATATTTGCACTGTAAAAATGATAAACAAAAGAAATCGTATTTTTCAATTCACCACATACAAGTAGTGTAGTGCAATCTCTTTACCATGGAAGTGCAATTTACCAATGTAGATTTTTTTGTTACATAACTGCACTCAAAACCAAAACAATGAAAACTTTAGAGCAGGAGGGGGCAAACTTTTTGACCTGAGAGCCACATCTGGGTATGGAAATTTTATGGCGGGCCATGAACACTCATGAAATTGGGGTTGGGGTGCTGGAGGGGATGATGGCTCTGGCTGGGGGGTGCGGGCTCTGGGGTGGGGCCAGAAATGAGGAGTTAAAGGTGCAGGAGGGGGCTCAGGGCTGAGATGCAGGGGGGGGGATGAGGGTTCTGGCTGGAGGTGTGGGGTCTGGGGTGGGGATGACGGGTTTGGGATTTAGGAGGGTGCTCCAGGCTGGGACCAAGTTCAGAGGGTGGGGCAGGGGGTTGGGGCACGAGGGTTCCAGCTTTTGGTGTGGGCTCTGGGGTGGGGCAGGGGGTTGGGGTGCAAGACGGTGCTCCAGGCTGGGATTGAGGCGTTCTGCAGGCGGGAAGGGGATCAGGGCTGGGGGGTGGGGCCCGGGAGGGGGTCAGGGGTGCAGGTTCCATGCGGTGCTTATCTCAAGCAGCTCCCAGAAGCAGCAGCATGTCCCCCCTCCAGCTCTTATGCAGAGGTGTGGCCAGGCGGCTCTGTGTGCTGCCCTGTCTGCAGGCACCACCCCTGCAGCTCCCATTGGCCGCAGTTCCCGGCCAATGGGAGCTGCGGGGGTGGCGCTTGGGGTGGGGGCAGCATGCAGAGACCCCTGGCTGCCCCTACGCGTAGGAGCCAGAAGGGGGACATGCCACTGCTTCTGGTAGCCACGTGGAGCGCCCCCCAACCCCGCTCCCCAGCTGGAGCGCGGGAGTGGGGCAAGCCCCAGATCCCGCTCCCAAGCGGGAGCTCGAGGGCCGGATAAAATCGGCTGGCGGGCCAGATGTGGCCCGCAGGCTGTAGTTTGCCCACCCCTGCTTTAGAGCCTACAAGTCCACTCAGTCCTACCTCTTGTTCAGCCAAACGCTAAGACAAACAAGTTTGTTTACATTTACAGGAAATAATGCTGCCCACTTATTTACAACGTCAACTGAAAGTGAAAACAGGCGTTCGCATTGCACTTTTTTAGCCAGCGTTGCAAGGTATTTACTTGCCAGATATGCTAAACATTCAAATGCCCCTTCATGCTTTGGCCACCATTCCAGAGGACATGTTTCCATGCTGATGATGCTTGTTTAAAAAAATAATGTGTTAATTAAATGTGTGACTGAACTCCTTGAAGGAGAATTGTATGCCTCCTGCTCTGTTTTACCCGCATCCTGCCATATATTTCCTGTTATAGTAGTCTTGGATGATGACCCAGCACCTGTTGTTCATTTTAAAAACACTTTCACTGCAGATCTGACAAAACGCAAAGAAGGTACCAATGTGAGATTTCTAAAGATAGCTAAGCACTCGACCCAAGGTTTAAGAATCTGAAGTGCTGTCCAAAATCTGAGAGGGACGAAGTGCACAGCATGCTTTCAGAAGTCTTAAAAGAGCAACACTGAGATGCGGAAACTACAGAACCATCAAAAAAGAAAATCAGCCTTCTACTGGTGGCATCTGACTCAGATGATGAAAATGAACATGCGTCGGGCGGCACTACTTTGGATTGTTATCAAGCAGAACCCGTCATCAGTATGGATGCATGTTCTCTGGAATGGTGGTTGAAGCATGAAGGGAGATATGAATATTTAGCGCATCTGGCATGTAAATATCTTGCAGTGCTGGCTACAAAAGTGCCATGAGAATGCCTGTTCTCACTTTCAGGTGACATCGTAAACAAGAAGCGGGCAGCATTAACTCCTGCAAATGTCAACAAGGCTGACCAAGAAGTAGGGCTGAGTGGACTTGTAGGCTCTAAAGTTTTACATTGTTTTATTTTTGAATGCAGTTTATTTCCTACATAATTCTACATTTGTAAGTTGAACTTTCATGATAAAGACATTGCACTACAGTACTTGTATTAGGTGAACTGAAAAATACTATTTTATTTTGTTTTTTTACAGTGCAAATATTTGTAATCAAAAATAATAATATAAAGTGAGCACCGTCAACTTTGTATTCAGTGTTGTAATTGAAATCAATATATTTGAAAATGTAGAAAACATCCAAAAATATTTAAATAAATGGCATTCTACTATTGTTTAACTGTGATTAATTTTTTTAATCGCTTGACAGCCCTACTAACCACCCAATGGTTCTCTCTCAAGAGCCAATCCTGCACCTCACAGGTGCTGACAGGCCTGGCAGAGTCTGGCTTGTTCTTCAGGGTGACAGAGTTGTGTACTGTCATCACCAGCAAGGCCAGGCAGTGTGACTGAGGTGCTGTCAGGATTAATACCCTGGGCTTCAACGTTTGGGTTTTGTTTTTAGTAACTACACGGCTGTTCCTGCTGAGAACTCTTGGCCTTCACTTCAGGGCCAAGTATCATCTATGGGAATTTCCTTTCTGAAGTGTCTGACACACTGAGACCCAGGGGTGGCAGGATACCCAGCAAAACTCCTTGTGGTTCACGTGTTCTGGAAAGGCTGGGCCCCGAGAGTTTGTGTGTTTCAATCAGTACGCAAGATCCGGTTTTATTATTAAGTAATAAAACTTATTTAAAATGGAGTCTGTACACATGGAAAAGCACCTTCTCACATAAGAATACAGTACACACAGAAGAACTATGTTACAAGAACAGCCAGGTTGCAAAGTCAAGCATTTGATCTGCCTGGGCATATGCACTATGATACAGTATTTAAATACATTATCACATAATTTTTCTACTGTGCCACATTCAGTGCACAGGATGGACTCTGCTAACAGAATGAGCAGCCACACAATGTTTTTTTCCTTGTTGTTCAATGTATGCAGTAAATTAGCCCTGGGCCACACTATTCAAACCCTACTCTGAAAATACAATTATTAATTGCCTTGCGGGCTTTTCCATGGTGATCATCACTAATGTATGTGAAACACTCAGATACTATAATGAATTTATTTTCAAAATACCTTTGTGAAATGAGCAGTGCTATTATCTCCATTTTACAGACGGGGAACTGAGGCATCAAGAAACTAAGGTCAAGAGTATCCACAAATTTTAGGTCCCCAATTTGAGATGCCTAGGACCTGATTTTTCAGAGTACTTAGCATTATACATCACTTCATACATTCAAAGCACAGCTCTGCACTTCAAAGCACTTCTGCAAATCAGACCACAAAGCTCAAGTCAGGCACCAAGAAAATGAGGAACATAATTAGAGATCACGTCTTAAACAACTTGCCCAGCAACTCTGTGGCAGAGGCAAGGATAGAATCCAACTTTCCAGAGCAGCATTCAACTGCGCTAACCAAGCTCTCCTCCCCCAGCCTCATTCACCACACACCTTCAAACTTCTGCAACAACCGAGGCAGAGGCCCTATAGACAACAGCCTCCTTCGTTACACAGGCCTGATTCATCCTGAGAGCACCATCCATCCTGTGTACTGATTGAGGCAGGGGTGATGCAGAAAAACAGTATGTGATCATGTAATTGGAGACTAAAAATGTATATTCACAGATGGGCCCGTGCAACCCTAAGCCAGTCCCCCTGAATTCAGGCATATCCTAAATTTTGAGAGTTTGAATTTGCAACCTGAATGTTCTTTTAATGTAGTGTGTTTGTGTGTAAGTAATTTCCTAGGTTTTTAAAAAGCAAAACTGGAAAAAGGAAGATCCAACATGTGGCATCCTATTGATATCAGCATGGGTCATCAGTAGGTTGGAACTTTAGAACCATCGAACAGACCTCTGCAACTTGAACAAATGACTAACAGTAATAAGTTGCCATCCTCTGGATCAGCTCTGAAAAGGTGGCCAAGTTAACGTTTCCCATCAAAGGGAAAAGATAAGAGCTTTATTTTTAAAAAGCAAGCACAGCATTTGCAGAATCCAAAGTTGCCAAGTGACTAACAACCAGAGAACTCTTTGTGTGCGCCTGTGGTTCTTGTTTTCCTCCTGTTCTAAAGCAGTTTTAAAGCAGGTTCCACTCCTGACTCTAGCAGAAGGGATTTTATGCAGCCTCCCAGTTACCCCCTTCTGTAAAGCGTGGGGGATGACATTAGTCTAAGGTATCAAGTATCAGAGGGGTAGCCGTGTTAGTCTGGATCTGTAAAAGCAGCAAAGAGTGGCACCTTATAGACTAACAGACGTATTGGAGCATGAGATTTCGTGGGTGAGTACGACGAAGTGGATATTCACCCACGAAAGCTCATGCTCCAATACGTCTGTTAGTCTATAAGGTGCCACAGGATTCTTTGCTGCTAGTCTAAGGTAGGAGGCCTGGTTTGTGGTAAGGGCTATTGAGTGCCTAGAATTAACAGCAGTCAGTGGAAGAGCTGGACTAGACTGCATGGCCTCCTACCAGCTCTCAGCCAGGAGGCTGCTCCCCATGTGTGGCATTCCTTGTCATTGAGGAGCAGTCACTTATTCTCTCACAAGGGTACCCCAGAGCAGTAAGAAGAGAGAGCAGAGAAAGTAGCCCATCCCTCAGACCTAGCAGAAGGTGGTGATGGGGGAGCCTGGAAAAAAGAGCAGGAAATCCAAGGCCACCCCAGGAGCATCTGCGGAGAAGAGTGCTGGAGGATTTTGGAGATGGAGGAGAGGAAAGGGCAGGCCAGCCTGAGGCAGCTGCTCCAATTATACGGCTTTCTTCATTCTATTCATCCCCCATAGACTGCCTGGCTCCTAACGCTGCTCCCCGTCACCCCCAGGCCTGCCCTGTCTGCCCCCAACCCTCCTGCCTGCATCCATACTGGGCCACTTCCTCCTTCTCCCTCCACATTGCCTGGATACTAGAAGGAGAGCAAAGTAAGCACAGGAAAAAGCCTTCCTGCTGGGCCCAGTGCCTGGGCCCGCAACAGCCCCAGCAACCAGGAGCAGCAATTGAAGGGAAAGTTTTTCAGCCCTGCAGCACTACTGGATGCATGAGATCCAAGCTAGGTAACAGACTGCATGCAGGGGAGGAATAATGTCATATACCCCAACACAGGACATTCTGCATTTCTGCTGGAGGGAACGCTGCTTCTGCTGAGCAGGATGTTCTCTGTGCATTCTGGGGGTTGATGCATGCTCAGTATAGACAATTTTCAGAGATTTTAAGATGCCAGCCTTAAACTCCACTAAGCATATGGAAACTACCATTTTCAGAAGCTTATAACTTGCCCATATCCAACCGATTTCCACGGGAACAGAAAAATGTACCTCCCACTCCAATGCTAGCCCTGTCAAGTTTAAAATCCTTGCTCCAAAGCATGGAGGTGCTAGAGCTTCTCAAAACAGCTGTAAGAATTTAACATTGGCAAGACAACCTAATTTTCTCCAGTCTTGCTCTTGGAAGTGGCTGGACCATTTTTGCTGAAATGTAGTAAAATATTCAGCCTGAGGCAGAAACTCCATCACATGGAAAATTTCAACCCAAATGGTTTTTTAGCTTATAAGCACTGACTACGGGTGCCATTGCCAGAACTGCCTATAATTATTTCAGAGGAACATTTACATTAAGACTTGTTAAAACAAGTACATCAGAACTTGGTTTAATGCAAAAATCAGATGAGCACATTCACTTTGGACTTTGTTACTATGTTACCTGTAGTGAAAAAGTTAGTGCAAGTTCGGTTTCCACATGTCCGCTTGGTGGCAGCACAATTTCATGAGACCGTAGTATTCGCTTCGAGCCCTACACAGAAAGAAAACCTGGTCAGGTAAAGGTCTGAGTATCAGTCCAGGCTTATTGCTTTCACCCTTTGGGAACTGGCTAGTGCAACCTGGCTCATTGCCAAGGTTTGGACGTGATCAATAGGGGGCACTCTTGCAGACAGCAGGGTTTGTGGTGAAAAGACGATAGAACCTCAGTGTTTCAAACACCTCAGGAATGGAGATTGCTGATAACTCAAACGTTCGTAACTCTGAACAAAACATTATGGTTGTCCTTTGAAAAGTTTACAACTGAACATTGACTTAATACAGCTTTGAAACTTTACTATGCAGAAAAAAAAAATGCTCCTTTCCCTTTTTTATAGTAGTTTACATTTAACGTAGTACTGGATTTGCCTCCCCCCCCCGCCCAGTTGCTGCTTCCTGATTGTGTACTTCCAGTTCGAAATTAGGTGTGTGGTTGACTGGTCAGTTTGTAACTCTGGTGTTTGTAACACTGAGGTTCTACTTTATAGTGCTGCTGGATGGAAGCTAAAGGTAGTCCAGCTTGAAGCTAGTCATGCTCTGCTCCCTGACACCATCTACACCCTATCCCCCAGGCACCCTTTCCCTTGTGTTGCCTCCCCTGTTGCCAAACCCATTTCTACACCAGGCAGCACTAAGGGAAGCAGCAGCTTCTCCCAGCAGAGCAGGGACACAGAGGGGCTCTATGCTGAGCAGCAGACAGGCTGCAAGAGTGAAGTGGGATCCCTGTTCAGGGATGGAGGCCTATTCAAACAGCCATCATGGGTGCCAGTAAAGGGGAGATGAGGCCTCATCTGAAAGAAACGGAGGTAGCTGCAGGAATGGCTCATGTGCCACGTGGTGGGAGCGCCCTAGACTAGTACCATTTATTGAGGACATGGGAACTTCTCCTTAGGGATCTATGGCAAAGTGATTATAATAGTAGTGTATGGCAAACTTAAAACTAAGCTGTCACTTGAAATTTCTGGGGGTTTTCTTGGTCCTGCTGCCAGGCTGGGGGTCTCCATAGGGAAGCGCACAATCTGGGATCAGCAGCAGTGAGACTGCAGACAGTTCACAGTAAAGTGGAGGTGAGTTGTGTCTGTTTTCAGGAGCGCCCCACTTTGTTGCTCTGGCTTTGGGTTCTTACGTGTTACTCTTCTGAAATCTAAGGAAAATATTGTGCTACACTGCAGCCTTCCAGCAAGAATACGTTTCTAATCTAACTTGTCTCTGTTTATGCTGTGAACATAACAGTAACAGATTGACTATGCCCTCTTCCAACAAAGACCTACCCAGATGAAAAGCAAAGCACTTGGCCATTGGGGGATTTGGACATATTTGCAGTTAGTAATACAGTAGTAGCATACAGCAATATTTCTGCAGCATCAGCCCCAAATGTTCAAAAAGCATGTGATTCTTTTTAAAAATAATCGTATGATTTTTAAGCCAATAAATAGAGGGTTCTTTTTATCTGCCTGCTGGGTTTTGAGTCCTTAGGTCAGGTTTACCAGCTTCTCTGCAACCATTAAAGATATAAATTAACTTTTAAAATGAAAGCTGAGATTCTCTCCTAATCAAATGACTTTGGCGGCTGGGGCTTTAAGAGAAAACACCAAACACTAAGGCCTGGTCTACACTAACCCCCCAAGTCGAACTAAGGGACGCAACTTCAGCTACGTGAATAACGTAGCTGAAGTCGACATATCTTAGTTTGAACTTACTGCGGTTCAGACGTGGTCCACACGCGGCAGGCAGGCTCCCCCGTCGACGCCGCGGTACTCCTCTCGCTGAGCTGGAGTACCGCAGTCGACGGCGATCACTTCCTGGTTCGATTTATCGCGTCCAGACCAGACACGATAAATCGAACCCGGAACTTCGATTCCCAGCCGCCGAACTAGCGGCTGGGTATAGACGTACCCTAAGACTTGCAATAAGACTGGGAGAGCTGATGTGACTGATTTGGAGCAGCACTAATAATTTATGAATAGCGCATACTAACTGTATGACTATATTGGTGCAATTCTACAGGTGGCTGTCAGCAAAAATAAGCAGGAAGGAAAAAAAAGAGTTCAAGTTAAGCTACACTCCAGCAAACACTTGAGGGCTGCTAAAGGACAGTGGCAGAGTATTACCTCCAACGACTCTGGCTTGATTCCTGTTGAGCCTACAGAAGGGCCAAAGGCCAGGAACACAGAAGAACTATGCAGGGTTTAAAAGGGACCCTCAGAAGAGGGGACAGTTTTTCAGGGGAAACCAGACCAAGAGCTACTCAATAAGGGCTGTCTGAAGAAGGTAGGTTTGCCTGCAGTACTACCTGGGGACTGCAAGCCTTGAGGCAGGGGATGTGTGTGTGTAGACAGTTTTAAAATCCTCCCTGAATACTTTGTTTCTACCGTTAACAAATCATAGAATCATAGAATATCAGGGTTGGAAGGGACCTCAGGAGGTCATCTAGTCCAACCCCCTGCTCAAAGCAGGACCAATTCCCAACTAAATCATCCCAGCCAGGGATTTGTCAAGCCGGGCCTTAAAAACACTACTTGGGTTTTTAAGAAGGCTGTCTGGTCTCTGTATACAAATGGTCAGACTCCTGAAGGAAGAACTGCAGGTGTCTGAACTCAGTCAGACCTGTAGGTTATTGGTGGATGCCCAGGGGGTTGTATCCCAGGGCTTGGTCTAAGAATGGGAGAATTCGAAAATTCCACCCCAGGAGAAGTAAAAGCAAGACGCCTGACACCTGAGCGTGTGCACTCAGCTGAGAAAAGGGAGAGAGGGGCACCCAGCCCTGCAACCATGACCATTATCAACACAGATGTTGTCAGTGCCAGACCTCCTTCTAGTTGTGACAGTGTGGCTTTATTTGTTATGCCACGCAGAGGCTATATAATAAAGGACCAACACAGCTGCCTCATGAATACACCACTGTATTCAAAGCAGACAAAAGGGACCCTAATGTCCGATAAAGTCTCGGGAAATGCTGTTGAATAACAAAGTCCAAAAGGGTCTCCCCAGGACGGGTACAGGCCTGGGAGGTGTTGGCAAAGATGGGCTAGTTAAGATGGAATTTTGTCATGTCCTTTGGAAGGAATCTAGGCTGATTGTAACACTGTATCTTTGCAATTCTCTTTATAAAAAAGTGGATTAAGTCACTAGACTGAAAGCTCATGCACTTGGCGAACCGATATCACTGACATCTGAAAATGGCCTCCATATCAGGAACTTGAGCTCATGTGCACCAAGTGACCCCAAAAGAGCTTTATCAGCACATCTGAATATTCAAATGTGTCAAAACCACAAACCTATTGACTGCATCTGGTGCTGCAGAGACACTGGTCCACCTTCAATTAGTTCATCATAGGACAAAATAAATGTGGATGGTAATCAGGTGACAGTACAAGGTCAGCTCAATGGCACCCACACACAAAGCAGTAGCTGTAGCCGCCACATCCCCTACAAAGGCCATCTGGAGATAATGCAAGGCCAGGTCAATGATGGATGAGAGGAAGGATGGTCCCGTGGTTACAATTCTAGCTTGGGACTTGAGAGTAGGGTTCCAGTCCCTGCTCTGCCACAGACTTCCTGTAGGACCTTGGGCAAGTCACTTAGTTGCTCCGTGCCTCAGTTTCCCATCTGTACAATGGGATAATAGCCCTGCCCTGCCTCATCAGGGGGTTGTGAGGTTAAACACATTAAAGATCGGGAGGTGCACAGATGTTATGGTGACAGGGGCCAGAGAAGTACTCAAACTGTTTCCATCATGCCCTTTTTCCCCCATATACTTAATACTTTCCAGAAATTTACTACTTTTGCTGTTTTACTGTCTATACCACAGGATTTTTTTTTTTTTTTTTTAACTTGAGAAAAACTCTCCCTACAGTGAAAACAGCTGCCTCTTCAGACCTGAAATTTGGCACGCCCATGGTGTTGTGTGTGTGTAGTTCACATGCTGCTCAGTCTCAGGAAGGGCGCATGTAAGTGACAGGACCATCATTTGGGAGCATGAGCGGTGGAACAGAGCTAAGTGATACAAGCCCCAGATGGGCTTGGAACCCCTCTCCACAAGCCCCTTCCTCACCCGTGAGAAGGGGCTCAATAAATCCCTTGGCTCCTGAAGGCAAGGGGGTACAGAGCCCCTTGCTCCTGCTCAGGATACCCATGTGGGGTAGGCACTGCAGGGCTCCCTCTCTGCCTTCCGCCAATATTCCCTCTAGCTGGTGCCTGAAATCCCCACAGCCCTGAACTGCCAGCTTCCTTCATCTCCCTGTTAGGGGCACAGAGGGGAACTGGTAGCTGTGGGGCTGTGAGGAGCACCAGGAAGCCCCTTCCCCTCCCCCCCCACATCCCTCCCCACAGATACGCTCAGTTTTTGATAGGGAGGGTTAAGGTATGTGTGATTCCCACCTCCTCTTGGCGATATAACCTGAACTGTGCTGCATAGGAATGGCAAGCAGTGTGATTAGCTTCACTAACTCTATTTCCTGCTTTTCTAGCAGCTGTATGCGGTTTTTCCTCAGCCAACATTCTCATAAGGGGCACTGAAATCTGTTTCCTGATATCCTAGCATAGGGGTTCTGGGAACTGAACGCCCTCATTCTGGAAGGGTACGAGGAACACCGAACTAACAAAGCTGTTTGGATGCCTGTTCGTTAGAGAAGGGAGGGGATGAAGGAAATCTGTGATGGAAACATTTTTGGATTTAAAGAGGAAGTGGCAGAATCGGTACCCCAAATAGCAACAGACCTGCTAGGGCCTGCTGGAGATGAGGACTTGACAGCCTCAACATGGACAGATGAGGTTGTAGCAGTGTTTCTCACTGCTCTCAGAGTGGCAGTGACAGCTGGTTGAATCTGTAGCTCTGTATTTGAATATTCTGGGTCTTCTTGTAAGGTGAACCGTTCAAGTTTAAACTTTTGGGCTAACATGTTTTCTTTTGACACAACTACTAAGTTCTCTGCAGGGTTTCTGGCTGCAGCAGCAGATTTAATCAACTTCAGCTCAAGATTAATGAGGTTTTATGCCTGGGAATCGCCTTAGCTTTTAAACAAGGCTTAAGCACTGTTCAGTGACAGGAATCCCTGTAAGTTGGGCTGAGCTTACAAGTAGACCAGGAATGGACCCCATTGGTCTCCTGCCTACATGCACACTGATGTATGTACACAGTATGTATAAAATCAATGCACTAATTTAGACACTTACAGGTCCATATAACACACTGACAATGCAAGTTCATACACTTTAAAATATACATTATTTTAAAGTCAAGTGATATCCATTCTCTTGCATTTTGCACCTCTTTGAAACCTATGAAAAGTCACTTTGCTGCCAGGACTACTGTAGCAGTGCAGTTGGTAAGTGATTCTGTAGTTATTACGAAGCAAAAAAGCACAAGGAAAATCCTTTGAAAGTGCAAAAGGGAGCACATTAACTCTTGCCCTTCTGTAGCTCCATTTGACTGGCCCTAAGCTATCTAGGAGGGGAAAAGCCTCTGTTCTGCCCTGAGACAAGATGTAGCATGTAAAATAGGTCAAGAGGTTGAGTTTTAATGAAGTTGGGAGAACGAGGGTTTGCAACAGAAACTCAGTTTCATAATATAAAGCTACGATTGGCCTTAACGATGGAAAGTCTAACTCACCCTGTGAAGATATACTTAAATAGACAGTGGAACTACACAAGAAAGGGAAAAATGTCAAGATCTTACTCACGTACCTAACACTGCACAGCTACCTAAACAGCGTATTGTATTAGTGGAATAGTAGGTGATCATCTCCTTGTACACATGCATTACAAAATGCAGCCTTAATTTTCATATTTCTTAACATTTCAGCACTTAACACTGCAGCTGTAGTGTTGCACTTACCGTTAAAGGTAGGCTAAGTATTAAATGCAAGTTACCTGCATTTTGACTGCAATGACCACAGAAATGAGCTCCTTATCCAATTCCTTTAAGACGACCAGTTTCTTTAAAGTCAAGGTACACAACCTGCAAGCAAGAACACAGGAGAAGCAGCTATGAGTTATGCCTGGAAAAGGAAAGGATATAAAGTCAGAGCACCCTGGAGGTACAGCATGCCCTTGGGATGAATTTCTTCCTTTTCCTTTTATGTATTGGAGAACAGAGTACAGACTACTGATCCACAAGCTAGGTTTAAAAACTACAAGTTCTTTAAGCCAGACAATCAATAGAATTTAGAGTGCACATTTTCAAGTGTGTTGGCTATTTCACTTTGCAACTCCTGGCCCATGAAGACCTACTTCTACCTGTTTGTCAACTGCTGTTTTCATGATTTCTTTTAAAAGTTAATAAGCAGTTCTGGCCACCCAAATGGAAAAACAGGGATTTAAGCTCTTCCCTCTGCCCCCTGCTGTTGGCATGCTAAGCAGATGAAAGTAGTGTCACACGCCACACATTGCTACGTTGCTTTGGTCAAAGCTGCTAAGAACATAAGAATGGCCATATTGGGTCAGACCAGTGGTCCATCTAACCCACTATCCTGTCTCTGACCATGGCCAGTGCCAGATGTTTTCAGAGGGAATTAACAGAACACGGCAACTTATGGAGTGATCCATCCCTGTTATTCAGTCCCAGCTTCTAGCAGTTAGAGGTTTAGGGACACCCAGAGCATGGGGTTGTGTCCCTGACCATCTTGGCTAATAGCCACTGATGGACCGATCCTCCATGAACTTCTCTACACTTGCAGCGTTTTTCTGCTGTAAGTTTCACTGGTGACAGGGAATCGGTGAAAGTAAAGCGCTGGTTTGTGCACTCAATTCCTCAGGCGTCAGAGAGTGTTTACATTAGCAGCACTTCCATCACAGATGAGAGCAGCGCTCTAGGACAGCTATCCCACAGTGCAGCTCTCTTCAGTTTGACGATGGGTCTTGTGGGAAGGGGGCTAAGGGGTGATCACAGGCATCCTGGGTCCCTGCACAGCCTCCTCCTCCCCAAACACTGATAAGCTCCAGTAGCTCAGCATGGCTCCAAGCAGGGGATCACTTGCACCATGGAGCAGGCATTGTCACCTGGCCAGATAAGTGAGCACTTGCCAATAAAACAGGAAGGGGAGTTTCAAAATTCCCGGGGCTTTACAGGGGGAGGGGTGGATGTCTGTTTACCTGGCATCAGAGCAGCAGAGCTGCTGGCTAGAGTGGTCACCTAGGCACTGTGGGATATCCTCCGGAGGCTAAAAGCTGTGTCAACAGGAAGAACGTGTCTTCACTTGCACATCAACGCAAAAGCATCACCGGTAAGAGCTGTAAGCCTCTCATGGAGGTGGTTTTCTTTTTGTGGTGAAACTTCTGAGTTTCACTGCAAAAAGTCATTAACAAGTGTAGACGCTCCCATGGTTTTTGAGCAAAAAAGGGATTTTTTCTGCTTTAAAATGGCAAGTGTAGATATGCCCTAATTCTTTTTTGAACAGTGTTATACTTTTTGGCCTTCACAATGGTAACGAGTTCCTCAGGTTGAGTGCATGTTGTCTGAAGTACTTCCTTGTTTGTTTTAAACCTGCTGCCTATTAATTTCATCAGGTGACCCCCCATTCTTGTGTTATTTGATGTCATTAGTGATCCAATACCATTGTGCATTGAAATAATTCCTTGTATAAAGTACAGATGGAATTAGTGCAATACACAAATGTTAATATCAAGAAACAAGCATTAGTGTCTGGATTTTAATATTGGGCTGGCCAGAAAGAAGCCCATCCTCTCTGCATGCTCAGCGAAGATCCTGCTTTACTCAGCCATTTCTCAGACACCTCTTCCCAGCACAGCTCCTAGGTATGACTTTTCCTAGAAGCAGTGTATAAGGCTTACAACTCTACAATTTGGCTTGGTGTTCGGTGTGCATGGTTCCATCAGATCCTCTCTCTCTCTATGAGAAACAACAGGGACTCCAATCTCTTTGGAGTTACCCTCTTAACTCTCCACACTTGTATTGCCTATGCCCGATTTTTTTTTTATGGTCCTCGTCATCACAGATATTGCCATTCCTCAGCATGAGTTATGCCAGGCTGCAAGGAGATGCTCTGGTCTCACAAGAGATCAGATGTGAAAGGCCGCAATCTGAGCGGATTCTGCACCCACCCGTATTACTTTGCTCCAATTCAATACTGCCCATAGGTCAATGGTCCCCAAACTATGGGGCATGCCCCCCTCGGTTGGCCCAGGCCAGCCCCCATGGAGGGTGGGAGGGAGGGAGCACCACCCAGCCCTGATCTACTCCAGATTACATTATAGGTAAGCGGGGGCATGACATAAAAAAAGTTTGGGGGAATTAATGGACACAAATCTGACATCAGGAATCATAATACTCAAAAACCAGTGGGAGAACACTTTAACCTGTCTGGCCATTCTATGACAGACCTGCGGGTGGCTATCTTAAAACAGAAAAACTTCAAAAACAGACTCCAAGGAGAGACTGCTGAGCTTGAATTGATATGCAAACTAGACACAATCAACTCAGGATTAAATAAAGACTGGGAATGGCTGAGCCATTACAAACATTGAATCTATCTCCCCTTGTAAGTATTTTCACACTTGCTTCTTATCAAACTGTCTGTACTGAGCTATCTTGATTATCACTTCAAAAGTTTTTTTTTGTTTTTTTTTTTCCTCTTACTTAATTGGCCTCTCAGAGTTGGTAAGACAACTCCCACCTGTTCATGCTCTGTATGTGTGTATATATATATCTCCTCAATATATGTTTCACTCTATATGCATCCGAAGAAGTGGGTTGTAGCCCACGAAAGCTTATGCTCTAATAAATTTGTTAGTCTCTAAGGTGCCACAAGTACTCCTTTTCTTTTTGCGGATACAGACCCACACGGCTGCTACTCTGAAACCTGCCATAAGTGAAAGGAGCCTAGTCAATTTCCTTTAAGAGACCCACTGATTAATGGAAAATCTTTTGGAACAAAAGAGGAGAGGACAATTTGGTGAGCAATTCACACCCCCCACCCCATGCCCTCGCACCATAACTATATACAAAGCTGCCCCCTACAGTGCATGCAGAAGCAGCAAGTGTGGAACTGACAAGCCTGCTCCATTTTATTCCTCTCTTGCTTGGCCATAGGGAAAATGAGTGCTGCTCTACATGAAGCACATTCCTGTGCTACTAGCAACACCTGGGAGTGAGAGGAGATCAACAGACAGTTGATCCAATCACCTCCTTCCCATGTGTGTCCTATCCTATACTCCCAGTAAGAGTGGAGGACCTTGTCTCTCATACATCTGTACATTGCACTTCCTGCCCCAGCAAGAGCAGGAAGTGAAACTGATCCATACTGTGTTGGTTTCATTCCCTGGCTGCTGCTCCTGCAAGCATTGCATGAACAGGGCCTGAAGGTCATTGAGTCCCCTGGTACTGCTGGTGGCCCTGTCATATAACCTTGGTCACAAACTCATCAAGCTGCATCTTCAAACTAGTTAGGTCATTTGCCCCAACAGCTTCTATTGGGATGCTGCTCCAGAACCTCTCTCCTCTGATGGTTAGAATTTGGCTTTGGAGCGGAGCCCGGAGCTGGAGCGCGGAGCAGTGGAGCTGCAGGTTTTTACCTGGAGCTGAGCCGGAGCACAGCTCCAAAGCCCTAGAAACCTAATTTCCAACCTAAATTTACTTATGGCCACTATTCCATTTGTTCTTGTGCCAACATTGTCTAGCTTCCACAGCTCCTCTTCCTCCCTGGTGCTTATCACTTCAGCAGGACCAGCAGCACACACTCCGTGCTGGGAGCAGGGACACCTGCCAAAAGGGGCAAAGGGCCCCACATCAGACCAAACTGGAGACTGGCGAGGCAATTCACTCAGCCCCTAAGAGAGAGCAGATGTGAAAGAGCAAAGGCCCCTCTAGCAACCCCTCCTGCTGGCAGGGCTCCAGAGGGACCCATATGCATGTTCCATCATACGAGAGACGCAGAACATTGACACCCTCTTCCACCCAACCTCCCCCCACCCCCAACACCAACCATGGACAAAATCCCAGAAAACAAACGAACCTAAACAATTAAAATACAGAACTGTCGCATCTTACGTGGGGGTTAGGTTCTAAAGCCAGCATGTAAGGCGAAAATCGCATATAGTCAAAACCCCAGACTAGCAGCGAGCTGAGCTGGGCCGGCGGCCGGAACCCCAGATCCGCTCAGCCTGCCGCCGGTCTGGGGTTCCGTCCGCCGGCTCCTGCCAGCCAGGGACACGGCCCCGCTCAGCTGCTGCCGACCCAGGGTTCCATCCATCAGACTGAGCGGGGCCGGCTGCCAGGACCCCGGCTTGCAAGGGGCCGGCGGCCGGAACCCCAGAACGGTGGTGGGCTAAGTGGCTCAGCCAGCTGACGGTCTGGAGTTCTGGCTGCAGGCTCCTGATAGCCGGGGTCCCGGCTTGCAAGGGGCTGGTGGCTGGAACCCCAGACTGGCGGCGGGCTAATCGGCTCAGCCAGGTGACAGTCTGGAGTTCCGGCCGCTGGCTCCTGCCAGCCGGAGGACACGGCCCCACTCAGTCCGCTGCCCGCCCGGGGTTCCGTCCATCGGGCTGAGCGGGGCCGGCAGCCGGGACCCCAGCTTGCAAGGAGCCGCCGGACAGAACTCCAGCTTGTCAGCTGGCTAAGCCGCTTAGCCCGCCGCCGGTCTGGGGTTCCAGCCACCAGCCCCTTGCAAGCTGGGACCCCGGCTGACAGGAGCCGACAGCCAGAACTCCAGACCGTCAGCTGGTTGAGCCGCTTAGCCCACCGCCGTTCTGGGGTTCCGGCCGCTGGCCCCTTGCCAGCCGGGGTCCTGGCCGCCGGCCCCGCTCAGCCTGATGGACAGAACCCCGGGCTGGCAGCGGGCTGAGCGGGGCCGTATCCCCCGGCTGGCAGGAGCCGGCAGACGGAACCCCAGACCGCGCATAGTTGCATTTGCGTAAGTTAAATGCATGTATGATGCAACTCCACTATAAAATGAAAAGCTCTACTCCACATAGAGGTTTTACCCCCCCAAATGATCCAGAGAA